CCATCAATAGACACATAGAGATAAACCACATTTACACACCATTCAAAAGAGACAATAAAAAAACTAAGAAGGAAACAACAACAAAAAAACACAGAACACATCCTCTCCAGCAACCAACACCCAGATAAGCAGGGATTAACACCAGGCAAACGATCAAGCAGAAAACAATACCCTAATCAAGGAACTACCAAGGAGAAAACCACACCTCCACCAATACTGGCAGGGCAAGATACTGTATGGAAAGAGGCTTCTGAAGCTACTGTATATAAACGGGGAGCAAACCCCACACTCACATGCACCGATGTTACCTAGTTGGGCAATGAAACATCTGCAAGCAACAACCAAGCTCAGAGAGCACCAAGGACTCCGTAAAAAGAACATCTCCAAGGTTTTAAAACATGCGTGCGTGTACACACATCTAAAAAGGCAAAATCTCCAAGGTTTTAAACCGTGCACCTTCAACAGCAGCCCACGGCATACAGTGAGCCGTTGATAAAAGGGTTTGCAGCGACGGAGAAGACGTCCCTGGCTCAACTCTCTATTGCTACGTGGCAGAAAGTTGTCGTTAAAGGCACAGCTGTCACAGGCGGTAGCAGAAGGCGCAGCCACGGAACCAGCCTGCGCGAGTCACGCTCAGAGGAATCAGCCCCGTCCGAATCGGGCCATCCAGAAAGGAAGAGGGAGGGAGCCCGGGAGTCGACCTGGCACGCCAGTTCGGCAAAACCGCCCGGTTAACACGGGCTTGGGCAGGCAGCGAGACACGCACTCGCCGCTCCGATCGCCCCATCCGTCACGGGACGGCCGCTCCTCATCCCACACCGACAAAGCCACCGCGCGCCCCCTCCTTCGCCTTAATTACGCCCCCCCCCCAACCTCCACGTAAACACCGCTCACCTGCCCGCATTTCCAAGGCAACTTCCTGGAAGTCACATGACCGCCTCCTCTTCCGAGCTAGCGTCGCTCGCGCGCTCCGCTTCTCTCCCCTTCTTCGTCCCCCTTCCTCGTGGTGCACTCTGGGAATTGCAGTCTCCAGGAGTTCTCATTGCACCTCCGAACTCGCGCTGCCCGGCGCCCGAGGGAGAGGCTAAGCGGGCTGGAATGGAGCTCGGGGCTTTCGGTGGCGCGCCCGACTGGTCGGGGCAATGCGGCGTGGGCTCTGCCTCTTGAAGGCTTTATATCCCGTGCCTGCTTACTCGAGAGGAGTGCTATCGAACTGAATAGGTCTTTCTGCCGAGTAAACGTGAATACGATCGGGGGGGATTTCAGATCCGCAGGTCTGCTGAGCTGCGCTGCAAAGTGAACACAGGGGATGACAAGTTACAGTCTCAGTTCGTGTGTGCGCGCTTTTGAGTCAGTGTGGAGTGCCTGGACAAGTCCCTGCAGCTTCCTTGGCAAGATTTCAGAAGTGGTTTGCCATTGCTTCCTTCTAGGGCTGAGAGAGAGTGACTGCCCCAAGGTCACCTAAGGTCCACTTTGTGCCTAAGGTTAGATTAGAACTCAGGTCTCACAGTTCTAGCCTGGTGCCTTAACCACTATGCCCAGCTGGCTCTCAGTCTCAGTTTACTGGAAAGTAATCCATATTTAAATCAAACATATGCCAAGAGTAAACAGACATAAATCAGGCTTCAGTTTCACTGACTTCGCACCAGATTATTAGCCTGTCTTCCTAAACCAACCTTAGGTGCTGTCAAAAACCCTTCAAAAGTCATTCAATCATCACTATGTCTCCACGTCTGCTGAAGGCTGTACTTGTTGAATGCAGCTCTGTAAGGTACCTCTTATCAGAACTTATACACCAGTATTGTTCACACAGACCAGCAGCAGCTTTCCAGTTTCAAGCACTTTTCTTTTTTTTGTATCTGGAGATTCTTGGATCTTTTGTGTGTGAACCATCCCCTGAAAATTAAGTGTATTCCTTCTAACTGATACCTCTCTTATAGGATCTGTGGGGGTGGACACTGCCCGGACAAGTCCCTGCAGTTTACTTGGCATGATTTTCAAAAGTGGTTTGCCATTACCTGCTTCTTCTGAGGGCTGAGAGAGAGTGACTGGCCCCAGGTCACCCAGCCGGCTTCATGCCTACGACAGGACTGGAATCCATGGTCTCCCTGTTTCTAGCCTGATGCCTTAACCGCTACACCAAACTGCTTTCTCATAGAAGCTGTACTGTACTGTAATGAAAAGAGGCAAGCTAGAGATCACTGAGATTGTCACATCACTTATTTAATTATTTATATTTCAAATTTGTCACCACCCATCTCACTGTGAGGTGACTTAGAGCAGTGTTGTCCAAACCTGGCCACTTTAAGATGAGTGGACTTCACCTCCCACTAAGAATGGGAGAGTAACGACTCAACAGAGCGTTACTGGGAAACAGCTTTCAATTCCTACTGATTACTAACTGAAATCTATTCGCATGAGAGCATTTAAATGTGTATAAATAAAAGTCTGTAGAGGGGATATCATCATTACTTTTTCATTCCAAGCAGTTGTTGGGGCTTCTATGTTTCTAAACGGGGTAGAACTGGCAGAAGTTTTGCAGGTACAGTTTTTCCTGCCAAAGAGGTGCAGTGATGGGAACAGCTTCTCCTGTCATCAGGCAATTCTAATTCTCCAATTACATCTCTAATGCACATGCCATTCACCTATTTAAAAGCTAGATCCTGGTTTTACGGTGCCATCTTTTAAAGTGCATTTTCCCCATGTATTTTCAACAGCTACGGGACAGGAAAGAAATAGGTAGCAAAACAATGCCGTTGAATTTCTGCTTGTCACGTCACTTATTTAATTATTTATATTTCAAATTTGTCACCGCCCATCTCACTGGGAGGTGACT